GACGAGACAGATTTGCAAAAAGACAACTTGCAAAGGCATGATCTCAAAATCACAAGACCTTAGGGTACAATCTAGGTTGAATGTACCCGAAGAAACACGGGTTGGTAGGCTATATCTACGGCATGAGAAAAATAGGCTATGATAGCATGTTAGAAATTTTGGGGGAAAATAATGAGATTGTGTTATTAATCATCAAAATAAAGATCCTATATATAGGCAATGCAAAACAGACTCGATAGACTCAAATATAAGTCATCTAAGATCAAATCTAGATATAAATCTATTAAATCTAAAATTGAATATCTAAAATATCTCAACAAAATAAAATTTTAAAAATATATGTAGATATAACATAACCTCATAATCAAATCATAGTATTATTATTTTTTAAATTTTAAATTTAATATATATTTATATTTTTATACTCCCTCCGTCCCAAAAGATTTGTCTTATTTTTCCATTTTCGTCCATTCTAAAACAATTGTCTTGTTTCCTGCCGTGGTCTCCACTTTATAACAAAATTATTCCTATTTTTTCATACTATCCCTAATTATTACTCTAACATACTACTCCCTCCGTCCCATAACAAAGTATCCATTTTTCCATTTTAGTCCGTCCCATAACAAAGTATCATTTCATTTTTTTAGTAACTGTACTATCTACTTAACATTACAAATACCCTTACAACTTACAATATATTACACAAATGCCATTACCTTTATATCACACATACTAATAAGGTTATTTTAATCATTTCTACTTTATTCCTACTATATCCCAATATAATACTAATATTTCTAAAAGTACGTGCAAAAAGCAAATGGATACTTATTTTTGGGACGAAGGAAGTATTTAAAATCCTTCAAAAAATAAGGATATTTTAGTCATTTACATTCTACTTTATACCCACTTTCAATTAAATACTATTATTCCTTAATTCTCGTGCCAACTCTCAATAAGACACTTCTTTTGGGACAGATGAAATATTTATTATCTATCGAATCAATATTATCAAAACTCCTCAAACTCAAATTAAATCTACATACAAAACAAACACATAAATTCAAACTTATTTTATAATTCAAATAAAAACTAAATCCAAACTAAATTTTCTCCCAAAACCCTCTAAAAAAACCTACCCTAAATTTATATCAATATCATTAATTATATTAAAAGAAAATTAATAAAATATTATTAAAACTATTATTAAGTAATTAAATATTATTATCTTAAATACTGTTTTCTTTTTTCAACTTAAAGTAAGTCCATTCACACCTTTGTTGCACTCGTCGATCCTTTTTCTTGCATTGAAGCCATGAAAACTCGGTCAATAGAACGTACAGATAGGGGTGAACATTCGGATTTTCGGTTCGGATATTGCCAAATTCGAACCGATCCGAAAATCCAAAATTTTTGCAAAAACCAATCCGAACCAAAGAACCAAAATCCAAAATTCGAAATCCGTAATCCGAACTAAAAAATTCGAACTAAACCGAAAAATCCGAAATTCTAAATATTTTTATTATTATTTTTTATTTTTAAATTTCTTTTAAATTTTATTATTATTTTATAATATTAAATATATATAATATATAAAAATTAAATATAAGTAATAAATTTGAGTTTTTTATATTAAAATATAATATTTTATAATAAAATATTAAATATATATAATAAAAAAATATATTAAAATTCGAATTTCGGATTTGTTCGGATTTTAAGTATACCGATTCGATCCGATCCGAAAATCCGAAATTTGTTAAAAATTCAATTCAATCCAATCCAAAATCCGAACTAAATTTTAAATTTTGGTTTGATTCGAATTGAATTTTCGAATTTCGGATATTTTGCTCACCCCCACGTACAGAGACACCGGATCGAATTTGGAAACCTCCGTTCGGTGATGCTTGGATGTGAAATCCTCAAATAATTCCTCAGTTGATGCTGACTATTAGCGCAAAAAAAAAAAAAAAAAAAAAAAAGTAAAAAGAAGAAATCTGAAAAACAATTGGATAAATTATATAACATATTCTTGTCGCAAAATACTGCCAATTTTCTTGTGATGAATTAAAATTTGTATAAAATACTATTTTTGTTCCAAATTAATATTTGATTATAAATACTGACTAAATTATGTAAGTTTTATATAAATAAAATAGACTATATATTAAATAGCCTCTTTTTAAAAAAATCAAAAAATAAATAATCCTTGTTTTATAAAATTTTGAAGACAAACTGGTTTTTACAATTTTATTAAGAAAAATACTATTTATAATATTTTTAACTTTTTTTTTTTTATATATATATAACGTGGGAACCTGCAGCCGCTATCCGAAAATACAAACAAGGTCCGATGGGAAAGTCACACCTGAGGCGTGGGGGTTTGAACCCATGGCCACCAGACCATCCTTTACGGAACTTGTATGAAACTTTTTTTTTTTTTTTTTTTTGTGAAACTATGTATTTGCAACCAAATATCAGTTTTGGATGAAAACACTGTTTTGTGTGAACTTTAATTTAACACAAAGAAATTTGATGCAATAAATAAAATACGAAATTTTTTGTACATTTTTACTAAAAAAAAAAAAGGGAGTATAATATAATTTATCAAAAATAATACTCCATCCTACTCATGTTAATTGTCCATATTTTTTATTTTTCTTCATTCCACATAATTTGTTGTTTTTTTTAAAAAATATAATCATACATTTTAATTACAATTTAAATATCATAATTTATAATTTTTTTATTCTTAATTAAATTATTTAGTTATTTTAATCTATAACTATTTTTATTATATAATAATTATTTTCTATACATTTATTAACTACTTATTAATTATACTTTATCCAAATTTTAGTATTTACAGTAACCCGGACAATTTATATGAGACGAACGATTACTAATAATAAACAAAATTGGTTGGGGATATTTTGTACTTCCTCCATCCCATATATTTTGTCAACGTATAATTAGTAAGTAAATAAAAAAGAATATTAGTAAAAATATATAATTAACATTAAAATAATTAAATAATTTAATTAAAATTAAAAAATTATAAATTATAAATTTTAAAATATTATTAAATTGTATAATTATTTTTTTTAAAAAAATGACAAATTATACTAAATATAAGAAAATTAAAATTAAATAGGAGTATAAGTTATATGGGATCAGAAGGAATATATTTTTTGTTCTTTTTGATATATTTATTAGAAAAAAGAAAAATAATACTTCATCCGTCCATATTTAAATATCACAATTGTTTCTTGTCATTTATATTAGTATTATAAAATTTAAAGCATTTTTGCAATGTTTATTACATACCACATCAATATTCATTAAAACTAAAAAGTTCAAAGTTTATTACATATCACATCAATATTCATTAAAACTAAAAAATTCAAAGTCCTACTGGATGGCCTGGGGATTTTATTTTATAAAGCCGTTATAGTTTTTGTACCGATATCTGTAACAACAACAATTTCGCAATAAAAATCATTATTTCTATTTTTCAGTAATAATAAAAAAAAAAATTGTAACAACACCTGAAAATCTGTACAATGACAGAAAATACAGCTAAATAACATTAAAAAATATAAAATTGTTATATCAAATACTCTTAAGAAATATTGTGTTAAGTAATTAATTAGTTTAATTAATTAATGTGATAAAGTGTTATATTAAATATTTTTTATTTGATAAAATGTTAAATTAAAAGTTAAAATATTTTTTATTTTAATTTTTAAATATTAAATTTTTTATTTACTGATATTATGTAAAAATAATAATAATTGTATTTATTGTAAATCAATAAATGCATTTAGATAAACAAAAAAAAATAAATAAATATAATAATTTAAATGTAATTTATACAATAAAAAATGTAATAAAAAAATTATATAAACAATACATAAAATTTTTCGAATTTGGTTGTTATTAGAAATAGTTAGTTATGACATACCAAATTTAATACCACATTGCATACGTACGGTACAAAATTTTTGGTATGATATTTTACAAATATTTTGGTATACCGAATTTGCGAATAAAGAATACTGAATTACGGAAATAACATGAATACTCGTAAAAAAAATACCGAAAAATTTCAAAATTTCGATACAATATGACTTTTTTTGTATGATAACGATATACAATAAGATATTTTCAGTAATATAAATAATTAAAAAAAATGGTATTTTTGTATATACTGATTATTTGATACAATATCGATATCTTTTTTTCATAAATTAAAAATTTTGGTACGGTATACAATATATTTCGATATTTTCGGTATACTATCTCAAACCATTTCTAACTGAATTATATAACGATATTAGAATATAATATTTTACGTCAAATACCGAAATTAAAAATAAATTTATAATTTTGCACCATAAATAAGTTCTATTTTTTATTTTTTTTAACAAAGAAAAAAAATCAATATGAAATCTCATTTTTAATTAATTTTTCAGTCATAAATTTTCAAAGCAAACATCAAGTTTTTATTATATATTATATTAAAAATTAATTTTAAAATTAAATAAATATTTATTTATATAATATTAAATATATTTTTTATTATTATTCCAAATTTTACCTCAACTTCTAAATTTACAATTAACAAATAATAAAACTAAATATATTAGTAAGTTAATAAAATATAGTTAAGTTTTTTTAATTTGAAGTATTAGTTATTAATTATTATTATAATAGAAAAGTGAACTAATTTCGTGGGGACGGTTAAAAAAGAAAAAGTAAACTAATTTGGTGGGAACGGAGAGAGTATGTATTACCATCAATTGCACAATGTACGTATTATTAAAAAAACATAACCAAACGGGCTGAACATAAATAATCCAAAAGCAAAATATAACAACAAATATACAAATTTCACTATACATGCAAATTCAATCAACGGAAAGAATCGTCAATATCATTCCACAAACACAAGACAACCCTCTTAGAAATATGTGCAATAGTGCATGGCTCGTGTAGCATCAAATTCAACCCTAATTTAAAATATTCATACTAATACACTTGGAGGTGATTGTGTTTTATATGGTCTTCTAAATAAATATTCTACAGTCGGTAAAAATTTAGAAAAGAAAAATAGCCTTTTACATTATCATTCAAGTTACAGAGCCACATTCACATGAAGCAACAAAATAATATTGTCTAAACTAAAGCAGCTACCTAAGCCTGCTTAGCAGGAGCAACTCCAATGGCAACAGCCTGGCTTCTAACCCAACCTTACTCCAGCAGCTTTTCCAGAAAGGAGAAGAGTATTCTAACAAACGAATAATACACACAGTCAGAATACATCCAAGGAACTCGCAACAGCTATTTGGGTAGCTTGCTGCTTGCTTGTGTTCATCTCAACTCATCCCTTCCCTGCTGCATTGCATTGCATTGTTAAAACAAAGGGTAGTCTGCACCGTTGAATTCCGTTCCCTCATCACCAGTCACTATGTATATATATATATACACATATAAAAAAAAGAAGTAATGTGTGAGTTCATACACGTAGGTTGGGGTCCTGGGAAGCAATGGAAGAATCAAAAGCAAGCTGGGAAATTAGAGCAACAAGTGCAGATTCATGTCCATATATAAATAATAAGCAAACTTTATGGAAGAAACAAATCAAACCGAATGAAGGGATTTAATTTTGTTCCAACTGGATTCGAGCTTTTAATTTATTCTAGAGATGTACTAGTGACTATCCATAACAAACAATTGCATTGTGTAATTGGCTGAAAACAAGAAACATAGATCAAAAGGGTGTCATAAAACTAACAAACTAATACCCTACCTGAAACACCTCCAAGAAACCTGGCTTGGCTTTACTAAGCATCACCACAAACATGTGTAATCAATGACTTGGCTGGCTGAGTTCGCAGCACCACCTGGAAGGGCATTCTATTCTAGCACTGTCAGTGACAATTGAAGCAAAGCAATAATCAAGCATTGATGCAGACTGTTAGTTATATGTACAGAAATGCTTTCAGATGCTCTTCAGGTGCTACTATCATATTGCTCCCATATGATTTCAACAACACAAACACCGACACCAACACAGAAGTGATAGAAGAGTCCACTTCACTCTTAACACTCTTCTTTCCCTTTGCAATTTCAGCTTCCTTCTTCTTCCCAAACATTCTAACATCACAATCAATTGACAATCTAAGAGTCGCTACAGACATGAAAATCACAAAAGAATCACCTAGACAGAAAAGTTCAACAAATCAAGCTCAATTGTCCAATTATCAATAGCACCAATTGATAATACCAATAGCATCAACTCAAACAAGATATACCAAAATTGAATTAGAATCGAACTAATCAAAAGCCTAAATCCACATCAAATTCTTGGAATTCAAAAATTTCAAATCCAACAATCTGAATCAAATATGGAAATTACATCCTCCTAGGCAATTTAACAATGAGCACAACAAGATTCGACATTAAAGTTGTTGACATAGTCGAACCTACTAAGCAATTCAAGGTCAAATATTTGATTTTCACACAAAGATATTACCAAAGAAACACCAAAAGTAGTTGTAAAACATCAAACCACAGCAACAAAATAAAATCTGGCAAGCATAACTCTAGACTCGACTTCTTGAAATAAGAACCTGGCCGCGACCGGGACGTAGCCAAACAACGTCGACAGCGGAGGCGTTCGGCGTCATGAATAAAATAGAGCTAGAATTTCGAAGATGGTATCGCAGGAGCGTGGCATCGGCGGAGAGTCTCCGAATAGGCGATGGCGTCGGAGGCGGGAGGGCTGGGTTGGGTGGTGTCGGGCGGCGATGGCGTCTGCAGCGGGAGCAGCTAGGCGGGCTGACTCTCGAACAGAAGTGGGATTTGGCGGAGAAATTGAAAATAAGATGGAGTAAATTGAAATTTGTGTTAAATTTTTTATTTAAAACAAAAAATAAATAAATCTAACGTGCTGCGTCGATTCTGAAGGGGTTCGACATAGTAGACTGCATATAAATCTGTTAAAATATTAAAATTTTGATTTAAAGTTATTTTATACTATTATAATAATAATAAGATTTTTATTTTTTTATTTTTATTATTATTATTTTTTTTATAATCATGAGACTTTTTAAGTTTTACAAAAAAATTTAAAAGTATTAAATTAAATATATATTTTTTATATTACATTATAAAAATTTTAATTTACAATTACAATATCATAGTTTTTTTTTTTTTAATCTTTTATATTTCAAAATATTTTATATAACTTTTTAATTTTCATTTATAATTAATAAAAAATATATTCTCATGAGAATATTTTTAATATTTAATTTTTATATTTTTTAATAAAATTTTGTATCATTAATTTTATTTAAAAAATTAATTTTATTATTTTTGTAACTGTTGAACTGGGTAGACTATAATATTACAATGGATTTAGAATGCGTACCATTTAGGTTTATGTTACTTTAAACTGAGTTTCTTTCTCAGTTAATCAAATAAGTTTTAGTTGTACTTTTACATTATTGGTTTGTATATAAAATAATTGAATACATATATTTATTTATTTTTAACGCTAAAGTAAATACATATTGTATGATAATTATGCAACTGTGTATTTAATATTTTCAAAGGACAATAAATATGAGATATATTATTATTATAAAAATAATTTGTAAAAAATACATACTATAATATATAATATATAAAAACAAACATTTGAATATTTTAAAATATAAAATAAATACGTAGTAAAATCATAAACAAAATAAATATAAATATAATAATAATATTTTAAACTTAATATTTTATTTATCTCAATTGAAATAGTATTTTTACTATTTTCTCTTGTATGCTAAAAAAAATATAGGCTTGTTCATCACTATTTTAGATGGAATGATTTTTTTTTTTATGTAGTAGGGAGAATTTGATAAAAAAAATAATAAAAAATATATTATTTTAAATTGAATATTTGACTTTTTTAAATTTTTGTAATAAGTATGAAGTTGTTTTTGACTTTTCCTAGTAAATATTTAAAGTTTTTTTATTTTTATTTTTGACTTTTGTATAGATGTTTTTTATTATTTATTAATATCTTTAGATAATTGCAATTAAAAATTGATGTTGGGAGAACAAAGCCTATATAATTACACTAATATCAAAATATTTTTTAATTTTTATATAAATTACTAACATATCATTGTATATATAATTGATTTATATATATATATATATATATAGTAAAAAAGAGCAAAATTATCAAAATTATCTTATACGCTTTCACTATTATAAAATATTATGATTTCTTAACCTACTATAAAACCTCCAATGAGTCTTTTGGATTGAGACTAAGGGTGTGTTCGGTTGAGAGATTTGGTCCAAATCTCACTATTCATCCAAAATTTTCCCCCCAAAAACATCAAATCAAACACCTATTTTTTATTTTTTATATTATACTAAAAATCAATTTTACATTCAAAACATCACATCATCACCTATTTATATCACATCATACAACTATTCAAATTCAAAATTTTTACTATTCAAATCCCAACTCAAAATCCAAACCCTCAAACAAACACACCCTAAGAAAATTTAAACTAAAAGTAATTGGTAGAAAAATATATAAAATATTATTAATATGTGATGGAAATAAATAAATTAAGAGGGTGTATTCAATGTAGATTTTATTGGATTTTGTTAGACTTTTAAAATTTGGGTGTATTCAATCCAGATTTTTAAAAGTTTTTTAAAATTTTGGTGTATTCAATCCAAATTTTTAATAGTCTTTTAAAATTTAAAATTTAGATGTATTCAATTTAGATTTTAGAAAATCTTTTAAAATTTTGGTGTATTCAACAATCCATTGACTTTAAAAATCCATGGATTTTGTTGGATTCTTTAATAAAATTGTTAACAAATTACAATGTATAGAATCCCTATATTATGATGTGAAATTTCAATGGATTCTCAAAATTAGTAAAATAATACATATTATTTTATTTATAGCATTAATAACTAGTTATTATTTTACATGTATTTATTATTTTATTATAATAATATAAATAAGATTGTTGATGTAATTTTTCAACAAAAATAAAGTAAAATTCAAAGATATAGAAAATATCCTTAAACTTGATTAATTAGTGCCTGAGATTAGGAATCTCTAAACACTGTATGGTACAGAAAATAAACTGGAAAATAAAATACTGAAATTTAAAGTGGTGATCCCCAAATCTGACTTTGCTTTGTTGAAGTTGATTGAAGATCCCTTGCCAAATGATGATCCAAATCTTTAAATATTCTCTGGGAAACCGTACTGAAAAACCGTCACCCGAACGGTTACAACGTCTCCTTCCCAACCGTCTTCCAATCCTTCTCCTGCTGACACGTGTCCTCAGCAGACCAAAATTATCCCTATATTCTACTCTTTGAACTGGCCACAAACCTTCCGCCCTTTAGGCCCGACTGCCAAACTACAATAGTATGGGTCCGACTGCCAATCCTCCCGACTTGCAAACCATCTGACTTGTTTGGATTAGTTACAGACATCCCGACTAACAAACCACCCGATCTGCGGACTTCCCGTCCTGAGGGCCTCCCGACCTGCGGACTTCCCATCCTGATGACTTTATGTCTTGAAGACCTCCCGACCTGAAAACCTTCCGACTTGAGGTCTTTCCGTCTTGAGGACCTACCGACCTGAGGTCCTTCCGTCCTGATGACTTTCTGTCTTGAGGACCTCCCGACCTGAAAACCTTCCGACTTGAGGTCTTTCCGTCTTGAGGACCTACCGACCTGAGGTCCTTCCGTCCTGATGACTTTCTGTCTTGAGGACCTCCCGACCTGAAAACCTTCCGACTTGAGGTCTTTCCGTCCTGAGGACCTACCGACTTGAGGTCCTTCCGTCCTGATGACTTTCCGTCTTGAGGACCATCCGACCTGAGATCCTTCCGACCTGAAGTCTTTCCGTCTTGAGGACCTACCGACCTGAGGTCCTTCCGTCCTGAGGACCTACCGACTTGAGGTCCTTCCGTCCTGAGGACCTACCGACCTGAGGTCCTTCCGTCCTGAGGGCCTACCGACTTGAGGTCCTTCCGTCCTGAGGACCTACCGACTTGAGGTCCTTCCGTCCTGATGACTTTCCGTCTTGAGGACCAACCGACCTGAGATCCTTCCGACCTGAGGTCCTTCCGTCCTGATGACTTTCCTTAGAAATAAACCTATTTTCCTTGATTTCCTCACGATGTCCTTCAGCTAGTTCAAATCAACCCTATTGTCAGGTCCATTCTTCTTTTTACCTTGGGCTTTTAACCTAATTCTAAATTTCGTACGTAACAACTTGCCCGCCGCCAAGGGACTTTCAAACGCCATTTAACAATCAATGTTTGGAAGTTCATAAATCACTACCTTCTTGAAAAATTCCCTTAGCAACTGCACCAGTTACTGCAACACTCCTGATTAACTCCCTTCTCCGCAATACGAGCTTTTGTGAATCACAATCCCAAAACACTTTAACCATGGCGAATCAATACATTCCTGCCCTTCCTTTCGACGGAAACCTCCCAGAGGGCCCATTTTCAGCCTCGAAAGTACTAACTCCGATGATCCGCCCATATTGCATTACTCCTGAAGATTCAAATCGGATGAGGGAAGTTTTGGAATCCCGAAAGTCCTTGGCTATCAACAACCCTAACTACCAAGCAGTTCGCATTCGAGACAGCATCAAAACCCATCTCACGGACCCAAAAGATCCTTACCGCACTTGGTATCGACGGGTAGCAGAACACTTCCAGACCCAATGGCGATCTCAAAAAATCGACCAAGCAATACTATTATCCACCCTACCTATCAACCTCCATGAGAAGGTGCTTTTGGCCATGTCTGCCTTCTGGAATGCGGAAAATGGGACTTTTCTCTTACCATCGGGCCCCTTTGGTCCAACTCTTATGGATGTGGCAATGATCGCGCATCTCCCAATCGTGGGTGAAGACCCTGTGATGGGAGCCCTAGATGGACAGGAGCCATCAGAAGACCATCCAGGGTGGTCTTTACAAGGTGTGAAGGAATGGGGTTGGACAAAGTTCGCAACCGACCAGCAAGGGGCTCCAGGGACCCCCGTGACCGACCGGGAGCATACTGCCTTTATCCTTTTTTGGCTTTGTAGGTACGTCATTGTTTCCCCTTCCAAATGTGTTCTTCCTTCTCATCTCGACCTGGCCATTCATATCGCGTCAGGTCGATTCTTCTCTCTTGGCACCCTGTTTTTAGCCAATCTGTTTGAAGGACTCACCAGGGTTAGCCTTCGTTTAACAGATAACGATAATAGGAAATTAGACACTGCCGCGTCGGGCCCTTTTTGGTTTTTAGAACTTTGGTTCCGTCTTTACTTCCCCAACGCGTTTAACTTAGGATCTCCACCCACAATGCCAACATCTGAAAAACATTTGGGATTAGCCCTCAACCGACTCTGCTCAGGACGCAATAAACTCCAATCTTCCGATCCAATAATAACCGCAATTTTAACAGATACCCGCAGTAACTCTCGATTTTCTATGTATAAAAAGTATGCGGGTTATGCTCCCGACCATTTTTGGCCCTTTCCGGCACCAAATCCTCTTCCGACTCCTGAGCCTTGTCCTCATCCCACCTATTCTTTTGCCTGGGATATTGCCCTCAAACCCAGGTCTCTTTTTAGCAGCAAAAAACTTGATAAAAAAGGGCAGAAAACTTTTTACACCTTTAATTATGAACCTCAATTCATGGCGCGCCAGTTCGGCTGTTGCCAAGGTATCCCTGGACCCGTCGCTTGTCCGCATATAATTTTTCAAAGTCCTGACCGACAAGTCCTACCTAATTCAATTCCTTCTTATATCTCCCAGCTCACCACGTATATAACTTCCAATTCTT